CAGAGCTTACATATATAAGCTATATATAGAAAATAAATAAGCTATAGATAAATAAGTAAGCTATATAGATATAGATAAGCTATATGTGGATAAGAGATATATATGTGTGTGTATATATGTATGTATGTATGTTGTTGAGTGTCGTCAAGTCGAGCAGACTCATAGAGACTCCATGAACAAAAGACCAATGCCTTTCTATAAGTTTCTCCAAGTTCATAGAATTTTCACAGGCATGTGGTTTAGGAAGTGGATACCACTTCTGCTTCCAAACCTGTCCTACAAGTGGGAGCTCCACCAAACACTGTCCACATGGTTAAACCATTATGGCATTTGATACTTCAATGGCACAGGTTCAGCAACCCAGACTACCTCGGTATAGCAAACTGACAAGCAATGATGTTCAAAGTGGAAGAATGTTCCTCCAAGATATAGCAACACTAGTATTACCTAGCAGTGGTTAAGTGTCATCAAGCCAAATACATAGCGACCGTATGAACAAAAGGTTATATATATATATACATACACATTAGCATATGTTAACATATGTTAGCAGCCAAATACATTGTTTACCATACCACTAAGGTTTCTTATTGGTTGCAAGAGTGGCATCCTTTTCCCAAACATCATGTCTCTGGAAACTCTATGAACTTTGATAAAAGACGATAGCTATAGAAAGGCTTCAGGTCTTTCATTCATAAGTTCGCTGAGTCATGCTCAGCTCGATAGAAATCAACACCAGTAGGGTTTTTTCTAGCAATTAAATAGCAGTTGTAAAAATAAAAAAGAAGTAAATTTTTTTCTATAGCGTTTGGTAGTGTCAGAACCCTTGAAAATTTGCTTTCCTAGCTATTGTGTTAGCCCTTATTGAAGGGCCTGGTCTCCAGATACCTTAACTGAGAACACATGGTCTTGTAAATCATCAACAGCATTGGGACAGATATAAGAGAGAGCACTTTTCACACTGTGGGCGTTACTATGAGAGGCAGTGGTGGAGAGAGGGTGAAGAGACTGTGACACTGCTGAGATGAGATTGTGGCAAAGTGCAACCAGAGAAACCCTGGAGATAGAGGCTACAGTTAAAAGTTTTGCTTGGTGGATGATTGAATTAAAAGCCGACTTGTAACTGTTCTGAGATAAAGTTTGATGGATGACTGATGAAACCAGAGGTGCATTTGTGCTGCTGAATTGAACTTGGATTTTAAATAATGGAGGAATTGTGAATTGATGTTAATCTGGTTTGAGACTACTGGATTAAATAAACCTGGACTTGCACTACTGTGTGATATTCTTTGCCTCCCCTGCTTTCCAACCTAATAAGTCTCACAACTGTCAGTAGAGCCTATGAATCAATTTGAAGTGAACGTTGGCCCAATGGTTGATAGAAAAGGGTGCAGAGGCATGTGGGGTAGCATGTCTAACTATGTAGTTATTTATTTGGTACTACGGATATTATTGATGAGGACAGTTTCCCTCTATAAAGCAGGCAGAAGTCAGACTCAGCCACCCTTACATGGCATCTGCTCCTTTTACAGATTTCCAAGGCAGTAAACCTTTATAGTCTGAAAACATTTACTAGTCTGAAAGCAGACTAGTACATCTGTCTCCCATAAAACACTTTTTAGGGTCAGACATTGACCTTCTAGATAACAATCAAGGGCTTTAACTACTGTACCACCAGACTACTTTGTGTGTGTGTGTGTGTGAGTGATAAACTTACCAAAAAGGTAGAAGACATAAGTCCAATCCATATAGAAGCAAATTAGTCCAGACAGAGGAAGAGAAATGACTGTTCCAAGCTGTCCTCCTGGAAAATGGCAAAAATCCTTGTAAATTTTGGGTATAACAAAAAAGGAGAAAGTCTATGACTTAAAGAGATGGGTGGCAGATGATCTACTTAAATCCTACTGGAGTGGCATTGTTGTGGTTGTTATGTTCTGCTGAGTACAACTCATAGTGATCCTATGAACAACATACCTGAATCCTGTCCTATTTTGTGCCATCCTCATCAACTCTGACACCTTTGAGTCTAATGATACAATCACTGTGTCTATCCATCTTGTTGAGAGTCTTCCTTTATTTTGCTGACCCTTCACCTTCCCAAGGAATGTCCCCCTCCAAGGAATAGTTTCTCCTAGCAACATGCCTAAAGTATAAGAGAGGAAGCTTTGCCATCTTTGCCTTCATGGAGCAAAAATCCTTTTTCTAAAAAGATTATTAAAAATCCACAACTGTGAAACATACAAAATGTACCTATAACTCCTATTGTCTAGGTAGCTCAGTTGGTAGCATGAGACTCTTAAAATGTACCTATAATCATGTAGCTACTGATTAATTAGGAGGGGTCAATCATTTTTAGATCCATTATACAACTAATTTTCAAATCTACGTATGTTATAATTGAGTAAACACAATCATAGAACACTTGAAACAACAATGAAGTTTTTAATAAACTAATCTGCCCACTCTCTCCAAATAAAAATATTTTAGATAAATTATAATTTAACCACCAGTTGAATATATTTCAGTAGAAGAGGAGGAGCCAAAATGAGGAATTAGTCATTGTTTCTTCTCTTAAATTATATGAAAGAGAGAAATACAAGCAAATAATAATTGTTACAGATTAGAAAATGTTAGATGCCACAGAATTACATGGAAATTCAAATATGTGAAAGTTTACTTTTACCTTTCAGAGGCCAAGAAAATAGAGAATATACATCTAAAATAAAGTAACATCTAATAAAGCAATAAATGTCTAAATCTAGAAGAATAAACATCTAAACTGGACTTTGGAAAGATGAGTATGACTTAGTCCAGTAGAAACAGAGTAAGAGACAAGGTATAGAATTAGATGCATAGAGCTCGGTGTAAAAGAATGGAAGTATTGGATCTGGGAACCTATAAAGGAAAGGAAACCTGGAAAAAGAGGCTGCCTAGGTGGCCTCATGGTAAGTAACTGCACTGCAATCCCAAAGGTATGCAGTTCGAATCCACCAGCTGCTCTTGGGGAAAGGGATGGGCAATCTCCTCCTGTATGACTTACTGTCTTTAAAAATCTGCTGGCGGGTCACCTCTAAAAATCTGCTGGAGGGTCAGCTATGAGTCAGTATACAACAATGGGGTCAACAACAGCTATTGAGTATCCATTCTATGATAGGTACTATGTGCCAGGGACTAGTTAGGTGAAATGAAGTAACTTGTTGATTACTGTGGAGCTGGAATGGACTTACCACGAGGCTACCAGAGCTCCCTTCTATTTGCTGTTTTCTAACCACTCACATGAATTTCAAATTTCTTTGTACCTTTCCCTAAATAATCTCCTGTCTTTGCACAGCAGTTCTGATTGGCTTGGAAGCTCTTTACATGGCTGGCTCTTGACTACTTTTCACTTTTAGCTTAAAAGTTATTGCAGAGATGCCTTTATAAACCACTATATCTAAAATCCGCCAGGCAAAAACCTTTTCATTCACTCAACAGAAGGCCAGGACTTCTAGTGGGATGCCAGAATTAGAAATCACACACGAAGCTTATGTTATTTCGCCTGTAGTTCAAAGTGATGGCTGAAAAAAGTACAGAAAAAGATACAAAAGAGAGGATATGCTGACATGTGCACTAGAAGATAAAATTAGAAATCACAACATAGGGACAAATGTTATCTTGCAACTGTTAGATATTTAGAAAATAGATTATATAAATAGAAAATATTCTGTATAAATAATATTTGAAGAGGTAACACACTTTGAAATAAATGATGACAGATGGAAAAAATGGTAGTTGTCAATTAAGCCACAGTGATATAGGTTGACAGATTAAAGAGAAAATTCAACCATGGAGTTATACTCCAATGCACACCCATGTTTATTGCGGCTTTGTTCACAATAGCAAGGAATTGGAAACAACCTAAGTGGCCATCAACAAATGAAAGGATAGAGAAACTGTGGTATATTCACACAATGGAATACTACGCTGCAATCAAAAACAAGGAACTCATGCAATATTATTCAAAATGGGCGACTCTGGAGGACATTATGCTAAGTGAAGTATCTCAGTCACAAAAGGACAAATACTGCATGGTGTCACTGTTGTAAAACAGGACTGACATCGGGGTTGGGGGGGAGACTAAGAAAGATGGGTTCAATAATGTTTACTGCATTGAAACAGATGATGGAGAAAACTGTTTAAAAGGGATATGTGATTAGGTATTTTTGTCATGACAGGAGTCTAGAGCAAAGGCTACATGGTGGAGTGGACCTGGGGGAGGGTTTGTAAAACAATGAAAGAAAGAATTTTTCTTTTATTTTTCCAAGAGGGGAGTATACTGGGGGGAGGGTTGAGAGGGGAGAAAAGTGCAACAATGAATGAATGGAAATCCAAAGTCTCTGTAAATTTTCATTGAAATTAATAATAAAAAAATTTTTTTTTAAAGTTATACTCCAAAACCTTTCTTTTCCCTCAATCCAACCTTACATGATTATGACAAGAAGGACTTTTTCCTATCAAGGTTAATGCATACATAACAAATTATAGCAAATATTTTAATAAGAATCATTATTTCACCTGCGTATGAGATGCTAAGCAGCTTGCTTCTTTCAAGAGGGGGAGCCCAGGAAGACCACATCGCATGCATGGCTGGAAATGTAACACCCTAATGGAGGAAGAGGGTATTTCTGATGAAGTATGAAGTATATATGATAATACTTTAAATGTATTAAAATATTTTGCTGCATTCTTGCTGTTCAAAAATTCTAAGGGTGAGAATTAAACTAGAATCAGGTTCCATGAAGTGAGATGTTCCTTTTTTAAAAAAGAATTTATTTGAATAAAAACTTAAAAAGCAAATTGGAAAAAAAAATTTTAAAAAAAAAAAGCAAATTGGTTTTCCTCTCAACCAATCATATGCACTTCGTTGCAATGCTCTCTTCCTAGATCTTTTCTGAGAATTTCATTTCCACTAACTCTTCTATCCCGTTTCTTCAGTTCTTCTGAATTTTATCCCTGAGCAAATGCTGCTCTTCTGACATGGTTAGCTATTCTAAGCAGTGGGCCGCATCCCTGGTGTTACTGTTCACCTCATAGGCCTATTGTTTGATTGAAAGTTGAACCCCAGTGAATTTTGTTTTAATTTCAAAGAATAACTGAGGGTCATAGCTTGATAGTCTTGGAGATTCTACCAGTTCCTATCTAACTCAACTGTAGTCATTGTTATGTTTTTTAATTTTACTCAACATTTTTCTTTCACTTTGTTCAGGACCTTCCACTGTGATTCCTTTGCTTTTATGCATCTTTTAATTTCTTCACTCTTTGTTCCAGACAGGGAGAAACCAGCAAGTGAACCTTCAGATGGCTGCCTGAAAGCTTTTATGACTTCAGTTGCTACTCACCAAAGTAGGACTTAGAACACCTGTCTTTGTGAACTATGCTGTACGAATTGACTTTGATGTCCTCACCATATCATCTTGAGGTCCTAGGACCAGTAACTAAACTCCCTCAAGGTTTTTAGCTATGGTTAAGATGTTTACATGACTTTGGTACCTGTTTGCTCTGCTATATACAGAGATAGATTCATAGCATAAACAAACATCATGTAGAACTATCATCTGACAAACCTACATATGGTCACAAGCACAATTCTTATCTGTTCTGCATGTAGATTAATGCTTCTTATTACTAGTAGTAATAAGACGTGACATATGTAATGCTTAAGAAAGGACATTTTTATGTTTTAATCAGAGGGACCTGAAGGAAGAATGTCTCAGTTCCCCCAGCGCTGACCATAGCTTGAGGAAGCTGGATAATGTCTTGATAAATGACCAGATGATCAGATCCTGATAAGGTCCTGAGCCCGATCACATATTGACAGGACCCCACCCCCAAATTCCAGAGCAAACTATCTTCTCCTTCAAATCGCCTTAACAGCTCCTATAAAAGGAAATTGCTTTTGTATGCCTGTATGCCATTCTGATCTTCTCTGCATGCAGTTACCTGTGTCCCTCTCAGACCACTCAATAAAGGCCTGTTCATTTCTTGGGATCAGCTTCTTTCTCTCTCTTTCAACTCTTTTTTTTTCCTATCTAACTTGGGGCTAATTTAAAAGATCTCTATTTTTTTTATAGTAAAAATGGGAACATATAAAGATAAATACTTTAAATAGTTCTGGGTGATTTTCTAAGCACTCTAGCAAATAATCATAACTGAAATTTATGACTATCCTGTACCTGAGGATGGAAGTACTACGCTCTCATTTTTAAAGATAATGGAACTGACTTTTAGACATTATCTAATGTTTCACCCTTTGACACAGTAGAGCTATTCTGCAGGCTCTGGGTTTCTGACTCAACTCCATTGCCCTTTCCAGCATAGCATGATGCAATACTACTGTCAAACAATACTACTGCAAAACAACTGTCATGCTACATATCACACCCAGAAGTTTGCATCTTTGGGTCAAATAAATGTAAGAGAGCATAAAATAAACATATATCTAGCTCCACAGGTAGAAGTTAAAAGTTAGGAAGGAAAAGAGATCACTTATATAAAGGCAGGAGTGGTTATGATGAACATGCAAAAGATAAGTAAAGGGGAGCTCTGGTGGCCTAGTGGCAAGAAGCTGCAACTACAATCCCAGAGGTGCACGGTTCGAATCCACCAGATGTTCTGCCGGGGAAGGAGGAGCAATCTCCTCCTGTACCAGTCAGATCTGATTTGATGGTACACACACACAAAAATAATAAAATAAAAAGTACTAAAAAAAAGATAAGTAGAAAGAAAAGGAAAATAATTAAAATTTTGAAAAGGATAAAAATTTTAAGAGGAGGGAAACCAGCAAAAATCCCAAAACACTGGTGTTGAATTGATTTCAATGCATGTTGTTGTAAGGTGCCTTCTAGCTGACTATGACTCACAACTGCCTTATGAACACAGACCTGACCTTCCCATATCTGGTACCATCTTCACAATCTCCCTACTGTTGTAATCATATGTCAATCCATCTTGTTGAGGTTCTTCCTTTCATTGACCCTTTACCTTTTCCAGCATGATGTCTTCTTCCAAGCACTGCCTGACAACACGCCCAATGCATGTGAGCTGAAGATTCACTATCCTTGCCTGACTGCACATGCAATCCAGCAGCACTTCCACCAAGACAGATTTATGTTCTTTCGGCAGTCTATCCAACACAATTCTAAGGCATACATTCTTCTTCAGTCTTCTTTCCTTATTCGTTGTCTAACTTTCAGATGCATAGAAGGTAACTGAAAAGATCATGGCTGGATCAGGCACACTTCAGTCTTTAAACTGACATCCTTGCTCTTCAGCATTTTAAAGAGTTCCTTGTGAGCAGACTTCCCTAAGGCAACATGTCTTTTTGACTTCTTGACTGCAGCTACCATTGGTGCTGATTGTGGATCTAAGTAAAAATGAAGTAGTTGACAAATCCAATCTTTCCTCCATAAAGCATCATGTTGCCTATTAGTCTGGTGGTGAGGATTTCTGTTTCCTTGATGTTGAAATATAACTCATATTGAAGGCTGTAGTCATCGATCTTCTTCAGGTCTTCCTCACTTTCAGCAAGAAAGGTTGTGCTGTCTACATAGAGCAGGTTGTTGAAGAGTCTTCCTCTAGTTCTGATGCCACATTCTTCTTCACAGAATATAACTTTCTGAATGATTTGCACAGCATACAGATTAAATACGTATGGAGAAAGAATACAACACTGATGCCTACCATTACTGATTCTGTTTGGACAATAGCTTCTTGATGTATGTGTAGGTTTAACTTGAGTACAATTACATTTTCTGGAATTCCTATTCTTCTCAATGTTAAACCATAATTTGTTATGATCCACAAGCTAAATGTCTTTTCATAGTCTATAAAACATAAGTTTAAAAAAAAACACACAAGTAAACATCTTTCTGGTATTCTCTGCTTTCAGTCAAGGTCCATCTGATATCAGAAATGATATCCCTCATCTCATGGCCTTTTAAAAAAATTTTTTATTAATTTTAATGAAAGTTTACAGAGACAGGGTTTCCAGTCATTCATTGTTGCACTTTTCTCCCTGCTCACCCCCTCCCCCAATTCACTTTTCTCCTTGATGAGTAAAAGAAAAACTCTTTCATTGCTACGCAATCCCACTCTCCAAGTCCACTGCACTGTGCAGTCTTTTCTAAATCCATCTTGAATGTCTGTAGTTATCAGGTAGTTTTAGCTATTTTTGCATAATAGCAAGATTTTACTTACATGTGATATTAATGTTGATCAATAATTTTCACACTCTGTTGGATTGACTTTTTTTTTGGAATGGGAACATATACAAATCCTTTCCTGTTTGCCAGGTCTTCTAAATTTATTCAAATAGAACTCTGGTGGCCTAGTGGCAAGAAACTGCACGGCAATCCCAAATTTATTCTAATAGACTGGTGAGCACATCTAGGGCTGCATCTGCTAATTGAAGTATCTCTATTGATACTAATTCCATCAATTGCTGGGGCCTTATTTTTTGCAAGCGCATTCAGTGCAGCTTGGACTTCTTCCTTTCGTCTATTGGTTCTTGATTATATGGTATTTCCTGAAATGTTTTAATTAGACCAATTCTTTCTGGTACAGTGACTCTGTTTTCCTTCCATCTTCTCTTTTCATGCTTTCTGCATCTTTCAAGATTTTGCTCTTACAGTTCTTAAGTATTGAAATTCAAGGTTTTTAGTTCTTTCAGTTTGAGAAATGCTGAGCAAGTTCTTCTCTTTGGTTTTCTAAGCCCATCACTTTTCACAGTTCATTGTGATACTTGGCTTTATCCTCTCAAGTTGTCTTTTGCAATTTTCTGTTTAATATACCTTCCAACTAATAGCAATCCTTTATGACAGAAGAGAACAGAATCATAGCATTTTTAAGGTTGTAAATCTCTTTGGGAGGAAACTTTCTTATCTTTCTCCTATGGAGAAGCTAGTGAGCTTTAAGAGAAAACCTTTTGGTTAGTAGTTCAACACTTAAAAATAATAATCAAAGAGGAAAAACTCCATGAATAACAATAAATTTAAAAGCAGGCACTTTAACAGTTTATTATATAAACTACGTGTTAGATTTGGACAATCAAAGATAAAGCAGAGATAGACAAACTGTTCCAAAAGTACAAGAGCTAAGAATGCCTCTCTTAGTGATTTTAAGTGTGGTTTCATTTCCCTCTTAGACTATTAGCTAGTAATTCTCATTTGGAAAATATTTCTAAGTTGCAACTTTTGAGTGCTTGTACTCAAGACCTTATAGATCCATAAGTGAAATCTAGTCAATTATTTTCTAGTCAATCCTACCTCTATTGAAAAATAAATATCTGTATTTTATAATGTTAATTTTTTGTTTATAGTAAAATAAAATACGATCTTTAAAAAGAAGAGAGAGATCTAGTGAAGTAAAACAAAACAGTAAAAAAAATGAATAATTACCTCTCCTAGTCCTTCTAGTGTTCTGACTGTAATGAGATATCCAACCCCTAAATCTGCAGCAAGGGGAGTAAATAGAGTGAAGACAGCGGTGCCAAGGATCCCAAATCCTAGCAGCAGTTTGCCACCCACTTTGCTGGCAAGATAACCTCCAGGAACCTGCGTGATGATGTAGCCATAAAAAAAGGAACCAAGGATCCATCCTTGAGTTTCTGCATCCCATTGATACTGTTTACTCTATAAGGAGAGAAAACAAACAATCCTTTAATATATCAAATTAGTGGCCCCTTCCCTTCATTAGTATACAAATATAAGTTTGAATCATTGATTCAGATTAAAGAATATGCACACCATCTAGTAAGTAAGCCAAACACCAGAATATAGTCATACTGTTTCTAGAACTCAAAGTCATGAACTTCATGATAAGCTAGTCTATGAAATTAGACTATAGGACTCACAAAAACATTAAAAAACTTTGAGAAAAGATTGAAACTGTCAAGGATTTCCTTTCATTTGGATCTATAATTGACACCTGTGGAAGCAGCAGTCAAGCAATCAAATCATGTTGGGCAAATCTGGGCCTAAGGCCTCTTTAAAGACTAAGCAGGGGCAGCTATTGCTGCCAGTTTAGGGCCTGTGTCAGGAAAAGGAAGTCTTACTCATATACAGTGCCACCCAAAGGTAATAAAGGAGGTCAGAATTGCTTCCACTGTGGAAAGCTGGGCCACTTCAGTAGACAGTGTCACAGAAGAGAGCCACAGATAGGCAAGGGAGTAGAGAGGAAGCCCCCACTCACTTGCTTTAAGTGTGGCTCTGAAGGACACTTGGCCAAGATGGCTCACATCAGGTCCTCGTGGCAGACAGGACTGACAGGCCCCAGCTCCCAGCTGGAAACAAAGGAGGATGCTTCAACAATTTAGATTCTCCCAGAAAAGCCGTGGATGAGCATTAACATAACTGGTCAGTATATTCGTTTTCTCCTGGACACAGAGCCTACTAATTGGTCCTAAAAGCCTTCTGAGGTCCCAACTCTTCTCACTATCTCTTAGTTGTTGGAATGGATGGAAAACCTCATAAGCAGTTCCTTACTTCACCTCTACCTTGCATGTGAACTTCCGAGTTGTAAAACAGCCCAGTGGTAGATGGAATTTGCTGCAGGACTTAAGAACCATAAATGGCATAGCTGAGCCTCTACATCTTGTGGTTCCTAACCTCTACACTATAATAGACAATGTGCTAGTCTATAGGCCTTTTATTGTAAGAACCACCTTCCCTCTGTAACTTGATTTGTGCCACTACTAGAACCTCTACTCGGAATATTATTGCTTGTTAATTTTTGATTCATGTACTTTTAACTTGTTAGTTAAATTTGTGTCTTCTAGCTTGCAACACCTCCATGATACATCTTCAAGGATATGAACATGTACGGCTAAGCACAACTGATAACAGTGCATCTAAATTCCAAAATCAATCTCCATAATAGTCTATGTGTTTCCTACTGCCAAAGGGGTCCTTTAGAGTAGTGAGAGAAGATCTTCACCCTGAAACCCACAGCGTCCCTTTTCAGCAGAAAGTAGCTAAGAGAATACGCCATCCCCTTTTCCTTATGAATCAGGGTGAAGTCTCTCTCAGGGAGGAGTGATAGGGAGTGGCAAAGGGCACACTGACAAAGGAGATTAATCAGAACTGCCTTTGACAAGCACTGTGGCAATTGGACAATTAAAACAGACTTTCAAGGGGGGGAGAAGAACGAACTGAGGAGGAGGGTAGAGAAAATAGTGCAACAATGAATGAATGAGAACCCCAAATCTCTGTAAATGTTCATTAAAACTAATAAAATTTAATAATCATTTAAAAAAAAAAGACTAAGCGATACCTTATCCAAGCCATAGTATTTTCTTACCACTAGTCTACCCGAGGTCCCTAAAGCCATAGTATTTTCAATTGTTTCACATGCATGAAAAAATAGGATAGTGAATAATGGAGAGCAAAGAAGAATTAATGCCTTTGAATTGTGGTGTTGGCAAAGCATAGTGAATATATTATGGGATGCCAAAAAGTAAAAAAAAATTATATATTATATATCTATATCTATCTATCTATATATCTTGGAAGAAGCACATCTAGAGTGCTCCTTAGAGGTAAGGACAGTTAGACTCGGTCTCACATGCTTTAGGAATGTTATCAGAAGGGATCCATCCCTGGTAAAAGACATGATGCTTGGCAAAGTAGATGGTCAGCAAGAAAGAGGAAGACTCTCAACAGATAGACTGACATAGTGACCATAACAATGGCTGTAAGCTCAGAAGAGATTGTGAGGATGGTGCAGAATCTGATCAGGTTTTAAAAAATTTTATATTTGTTTCAAAGCACATATTTAAAAATTAATAACATGCTACCATTCGTGGTAATCTACTATGAAAAATAGTATGAAAAATAAGACTTTGGTTAGTTGACATGCTCTGTGAAAGTCTGATAGGGTTTTTTCCATAAGGTTTTAACCATAAGGTTTTTTCCATAAGGTTTTAACCATAAGGTTGCCTGGAATCAGAACTGACTCAATTATACCTAACAATAACTATAATAACGATGATCACGAAGGCTCAAAAAGGAACCATTAGTTTAATCCATTAAAAAAAAAAAGAAAGCCATTAAACACAAAACAACTATGAGATATCATCTCACCCCAAGTCAGAATAGCAAAATTTAACAGAACAGCAAGCAACAAATGCTGGCAAGGTTGTGGAGAAACTGGAACCCTTACTCACTGTTGGTGGAAGTGTAAAATGGTGCAACCCCTGTGGAAGGTGGTATGGCGCTTTCTCAAAACATTGCAAATAGAAATACCATTCGACCCAGCAATTTCACTTCTGGGAATATACCCCAAAGAGACCATAACTGCCATCCAGGCAGATATATGCACACCCATGTGTATAGCAGCTTTGTTCACAATAGCAAAGAGCTGGAAACAACTCAAGTGCCCATCAACAAATGAATATATAGAGAAGCTCTGGTATATTCACACAACGGAATACTATACAGCATTGAAAAACAAAGAACTCATGAAATACGCAAAATGGATGACCCTGGAGGACATGATGCTGAGTGAAATATCTCAGTCACAAAAGGACAAACATTGCATCAGACCACTGTTGTAAAATGGGACTGACACTAGGATTGAGGGAAGACAGAAAAGGAGGGGAGGAATGATGTATACAGCATTGAAACAGATGAGGGAGAGAACTGTTTAAAAGGGATATATGAATGGGTTTTCTTGTTATTACAGAAGTCTAGAGTGAAGGCTGCATAGTGGAGTGGACTTGGGGGGCAGGGATTGCATAACAATGAAAGAGTTTTTCTTGTACTTTTCAAGGAGAAGAGTGAAGTGGAATGGGGAGGGATGGGCAGGGAGAAAAGTGCAACAATGAATGACTGGAAACCCTAAGTGTCTGTAAACTTTCATTAAAATTAATTTTTAAAAAAGTCATTAAACAAGATACTGCAGTGGTTGAACTAATCTATGATTTAGGTCTGATTTTAAGCCTTATTTTCTTAACTTATTAGACATGCAATCTGGGAAGAGTAAATGAAAAGGATTAAAGTGTGACACACATTAAAAATTCCCTTAGTGTTGGCTATCATATGTGTATGCTGCTGTTGTTAAGTGCCTTTGAGTTAACTATTGCACATAGCAATCCTATGAACAATGAATCTGAACTCTGCCCTAGTCTGTGCCATCCGGGCCATCTTTGAAATACTTAAAAACACTGAAATACTTAAAAACACTGTTACAGTCAATGTGTCAATCCATCTTGTTGAGGTTCTTCTCTTTTACTGACCCTCCACCTTTCCAAGTATGATGTTTTTTTCCCCAAGAAAGGGCCCCTCCTAGCAATATCTTCAAAGTATGCGAGACAAAGTTTCATTATTCTTGCCTCCAAGGAGCACCCCAGCTGCACATTTTCCAAGACATAATTGTTTTGTCTTTTTGAGTCATAAGGTAAAGTACTACTTTTCTCCAACACCCAATTCCTCTGTCATCCTTATTTATTGCCCAACTTTCAGCTGTATAGCAATAACTGAAAAGATTATGGTTTGGATCAGGTACATCTTAGTGATCAAAATGACGTAAATGCTTTTCAGCACGTTGGAAAGGTCCCTAATAGCAGGCTTTCCTAGTAGCTTTTGATTTTCTGACTGCTGGTGACAAGGGTGTTGACTGTGAATCCAAGCAAGATGAAATACAGATAATTATCACCCCATTTTCTGACCAAGCACTTGAACAAGCATATGGAACAATAAAATAAAAAAGAGTAAGAATTTAAACTAAGTCACACAGTTCAAGTTGTAAATGTCTGTCCATTAAGGAGTAACATACAGTGAGGTACTATAGAGATTTAATGACTGATCTGACTTAATGTATTTAACTTAATGTATGTAACAACATATGTAAAGTAAAACACACACCATAACAACATAAAGTTAAATAATCCAATAGAAAAGTGGGCATAGGATATGAACAGACACTTCACCAAAGAAGACACTCAGATGGCTAATAAGCACATGAAGAAATGTTCAAAATCCCTAGCTCTAAGAGAGATGCAAGTCAAAACAACCATGAGATATCATCTCACCCCAGTTAGAATAGCAAAATTTAACAGA